AGGTAGCAACAAATGGGAGACAGAACCTTTGTGCAACTCAACACTCACTGCTTCTGTAAGTCATGAAATATATATATATATATATATATATATATATATATATATATATATATATATATATATATATACATTAGTAATAACTGTGCGAAATAGAAATTTTAAAAAATTCAAAAATATTTTGATAATCAACATTTATTTAGTCGTCCATAATCTTTTTTTCTTTCCCTTCTTATTTTCACTTGGTTGTGTTTTTGTCCATCAACAGTAAGCACCATTGTCACAGAGGTCAGGACACAGACACCGGCCCAAAGAGGGAAGCAAAATGCTGATATGAGCCGACAGGCCAGATCGGTTCATATCAGAACATGTATCTCCACAGTATGGGACACATAAAAAGTGGGCAACACACACAGGACACAACGAGGTGTAATGTGAGTGCTATGCGTTAGTTGTAGCTGCAGAGAAAAAAAGCATTTCTTTCATTATGCAGAAAATGTCTGGTTTGAAAACTAGTTTAGAGTACATGCATGTCATAAAGTAAATGCTAACATTTTTAGCTTGTATTTGTTCAGAATTGCACTGTGCGTTGTCTTATAAGCATATTCATACCCCTGGAATGTTTTCACAAATTTTATTGGGATTTCATGCGACAGTCCAATGTAAAATAGTTAATAATCGTAAAGTCAAACTATTCTCTACTTGACACCAACGTCGTAAATTGCCTTAAAAAGTTACAAAAACGCAGCAAAAGATGGTTCTGCCAAATATTGACTTCGGCAGTGAAGAATAAATACACGGTTTTCAGAAATCATTAAAATTCTTCCACTTCACAATCTTGTCGGTCTCTCACATCAAGTACCAATAAAATACGCAGAAGTTTTTAGTTGTAATATGTAAAATCTAAAAAAACAAATGGGTATAGGTACCACTGAAAAGCAGAATACACACCTAATGCTAATTTGTAATTCATGTTTTCCCCATTTTGACAGTGACGTCTGGTCACTCCTCACCTGCGAACCCCCTGACAGCTTCTGCAGCTCCGCCTTGCAGCGCTGCAGCTCCTCCTCCAGCTCCGCCCTCTCCCTCTGACTGCTGTCGTACAGAATCTGCAGCTCCTGCAGCTCCATCTTCAGACCGTCACACTGGGGGCGGAGGGGGAAGATCCAAACCTTTTGTTTGTATTTTATGTCCAGCCTCTGATCCATACAAAACATGTCGACAGATTAAATACCTCTCTCTGAACCTGCGAGGCCTTCTCCTCGGCCTGTTTCAGCTGGTCTCTCAGCGAGAAGATCTCCCCGATCCCGCCGTTCCAGCTTGTCGGCGTCACCGGCTTCCCGTCGAAAGAGATGTTCTTCTGGATGGAGGCGTCCACCAGGCGACAGTTCTCAGACTGGGTCATGGTCATGTAACTCCCGGTCGTGACCTCGCCTGAGCCAACCTCGCCCTCCTTCGCCTCTTCTTCGCCCTCCACCGCATCCTCCTCTTTGAGTGACAGATAGACGCTGGAGCTGTGGAGAAAGTGATGCAAAACGCCATTTCGAATTTGCTTGGGAGAATTTGTTCCAACACTAAATGGTGGCGTTTAAAATCTCAGTTGTTTCCAATTGCACATCAACTAATAACATCGTTTCAGTATTTATGCATCATCAAGCTAGGTTTATATGTACAGCACATTTAAGCAACAAGGCAGTTCTGTGCTATTCCAAACGAGCTGCGGTAAATAAACAGGTGGGAGGTATTTTTTTACAGGACACATGGCAGCGCCTCGCCTCGGGGTAGTATTCCAGAGGGTATCCCCACCAGCTGATGAAACGAGGACAGCTCATGATTGAGCAGCCATTGACCTCTCACCATGTTCTCTGTCTCTGCAGCAGCTGCAGCTTCTCCGTGAGCCCCCTGTTATTTTCCTTCAGGGTCTGACACTCCTCCCGCAGCATACGGCACTCCTCCTTTAGCAGGTCCACATCACCTAAAAGAGACGACGGCAAAAGGTCAGGAGACAGAAGGGCTTGCATTTTGCTCATGAAAAAACATACTGTCGTCATCGAAGCCTATTAATAGACTACGCATGCCTTAGTGTTCAAAGAAATGCCTCATTTTTCTCATACACTGCTAACTGGTGCACAGATTGTACTTGGGAGGCTTCAGGAAAATTTGTCAATAATCGGCAACGAAATACACACCAAAATTTCTTTGTACTGCTTCCTAGGATTATGTTATTGAATTTTGGTCTGACTACTGTGTTATGTAGTATGTATGGTACGGTATAGTGCAGTATTGTATGGTACAAAATGGTACGGTATGGTGTTCTACGGTATGATGCAGTAAGGCATAGAGTGGTATGAAACGGTATAGTGCAGTGCGGTTTAGTATGGAATGGTGTTTTTCCTTTAATCTTAATCTAATTTGTGCTCAATTTGTATAAAAATTGCTACATAAAGAAAGAATTTATTTATTGATTGATCCAAAACCCTTCAAGGAGCTGAATGAGGTACCCGCGACTATGTTTCTGGAACTGCTGGGGCTGCGTGAGCAGGACCTTTTTAAGAATGATGTATCGTGTTAGTTTCCTTCCACGCAAAGTAACGGCGTGTAAGCCAGAAGTTTAGATTTGGTTTCATCATCCAGCCAGAGCGCGCTCTACCGCATGTTCGCCAGGTCCTCTGTTTGCATGAACAATAAAGTTGGGCTGATTTTTTCTTTCACTGGAAAAAAATGAAACAATCAGAGAAAACCGTGAGATCCCCTTCCTCTGGCTCAGCTGCTGAACCCAGCGGTGAACTGCGTCCCTCCCCGCCATGACTTCATGTTCCTGGTATCCAAACGACACACATGTGCCACACCCCTTCCCAACAATTTGCAATCACATCTGTATGATGTATTATTTATTGAAGCCTAAACCTGATTAATGTACTTGACAGCGGGATGCTAACAAGATGTGAGGGAGGAATACGAAAACACTTGTGTTTACTTGATGGCTCATCAGAGATTTTTTGTGGTTTTTAGAGAATAGGATAAATTCGATTTTAAAAGCCAGCCTTTCACTCTGTCTCTTACTGACACCAGGTCCATTTGTAAGCAATATTTGTGTTTTTTATCTTTTCCTCTTTCTGCACCGCACAGATTCCTCTTTGTGTCCTCACCCTCTCCTCTCCTCTCGGCCTCCCGCCGCTGGCTCTTCATGCTGATCTCCGCCCTCAGCGTCGTGATCTCCAGCTCGTACTCCTGGGTCTCCTCGGTCAGGCGCTGCAGCTCGGCCCGCCGGCGGCACAGCTCCTCCTGCAGTGACGCGATGTCGTTCTCGCGCTCGGCGGCGGCCTCCTCCGCCGCCTGCTGGAGCAGGAGCACCTCCTCCTGGGCCACGCGCAGCTCCTCCTGGGCCTCGGCCAGCTCGCTCTCCTTCTCCTCCTCCAAACTGTTCATCTCCTCCTGCACAGAGCGCAGCTGGGCTGGGGTAGAGCGGGGAGATGTTAGTGCTTCTTTATGGAAGGCGTGTGTGTGTGGGAGAGGCTGTGCTGTCAACCTGAGTGTGTACGTGTGTGTGCATGTGTGTGTGTGTGTGTGTGATCTCACCTGAGCTATTGCTACTGTGGGTCTGTGTGTGTTTCTGTGTGGGTCAGTGTGTGTTTCTGTGTGTGTTTCTGTGTGGGTGGTGTGTGTTTCTGTGTGGGTGGTGTGTGTTTCTGTGTGGGTCTGTGTGTGTTTCTGTGTGGGTCTGTGTGTGTTTCTGTGTGGGTGGTGTGTGCTTGCAGAATGCAGAGCTGATGTAACTCAATGTAACCTTCTTATAGATTTTTCAAGATAAAGTTTGGATTGTTTAGTAATTACAGGAAGAGAAAATTCACTGTCGAACGTATAACTTCGATATTTATATGCCATTTGAGATCTAAAGATATCAAGAGCATTGTAAGTAAAATCTATTATTATAATTATCTATATTAAATCTGTAAAATTGGCTCTTCTTTCTTCTTTCCTGTTCTCAGATTAACAGAGAAATTTGCAAGTCAGACTTTAACCACTTCAAAATTTTATTTTAATAATTTTTGACTGTCGAATACAAAAATATCAAATATGACAACTGTACAGTAAGTTTTTTTTGTTTGTTTTTTTTTTTACATTATTACCGAGACATCATCCCTGAGCTTTTGCCTATTTATCCTGGACTTTCATAACACTTTAGGTGAACTATTAACAATAATGTTTCTTAATCTACGCATCTTCTGACATTTCATGTTTGAAAGTCAAATGTTGTGAGGTTTACCATGGTAACACATTTTGCTGGACAGCAAGCTGCTCCCGTCATTTTTGCAATAAACAATAATATTGTTGATTTGAGACAATTTTTCTAGTCATATATTGATAATGCCATAACAGTGTGAGTTTGCCTCTCACAGGCTAATAAACCCTAAATTTGTAAAGAACTCTTAACACTGGGATATATTTGAAAATATATTTCAAAAATCGTCAATACAAACACAAGAATCAAAAACAATAAATAAAAACCACGCCCAACCAAAATCAAACATAAAGTAGATTACGAAGTCTAAACATAATCGCCCTTCAAAACTTAATAATCAGAATGAAAATGATTGAGCTCATTTTAATTCACATTGCAATTAATTGGTTAATTACTTAATGCGACAGGCTTATGTACAGCTGCTCTGATGATTCAGGCTATTCAGCTCAGTTGAATGAGAAAGCGGCATTCGGTACGACCTGTATAATTTAGAGTGCAGCACAAGAACCTTCTCAGTTTAAAAACTTACTCCAGAAAAGGTGAGATGACAAACTAAAGGTTTCGGCGATACCTTGTAGATTCTGGATCTGTCGAGTGAAGGCCTCGGCCTGATGGGCGCTGGCCAATCGCTCATCCTCCAGCAGACCTGAGGACATGTGAGAAAGAAGAGATGAAGAGCGTGTGAAGAGGTAAGAGAAAAGAAAACACACAGAGAGACTCGATAAGCTGCTGGACCCTGATGCATGACTGGAGGCCACAGTGAAAACCTTCAGCATATTTCTGTGTTGGTGTTCCTGTTATAGCAGCTCATAACAAGAAAAATTTGATTTGTTTTTGGTTGCTATTTTCACAGACTCATTTCACTGCTATTTTTAGTTAGGTTTTTTTTTTTTTGTCTCGTTAGCTTTTGGCTCCTGTTTGCATAATTTGTGCCAGCTACGTTGTTTTCAACCAGAGTTGTGGTGTTTTAGTGCTGAGGACAGACAGCAGACTGCTCAGGCTGCAACTGGGTGACAGACAGAGAGGACAAAATGCCTCAGGACAGTGCAAACCCTGTATAAATATGACAGGTATTATAATCCAGGCAGTGTTGAGTTGCCAGGTCTCTGTGCCTTTAACCCTCCCGGCTGCTGGCCTCAGCCAAGGTCACACGTCTTATTCAGTGCAACCCAACGCCATTTTTAGATGTTTAACAAGCGTGTTGAGTTTTAAACTCCTCTTTAGTTTGTCTCATCCATAAAGTCCAGACCAGTCCACTTAGAACTGAATTGAGTTTTCTTTTGTTTTCTTTCATTTTTTAATTACATTTTGTTTTGAAATGACATTTTTTTCTAACTTATTGCTTTAAACTTTCCAACAACGATTCTGTCAAATGAAATTTTAATTCAAAACCATGTCGATGTTGTTCATTTGCCGACATCTTTCCCAAAGTTTCTACTGATGTCTGTAGTTACGGGTTTAAACTGTTTCAGTGTTCAAACTTCCTCTTTCTTCTTTCAAATGAAGGCAGAGTTTTATGGCAGCAGATCTGTTTTTTAAGGGAGATCAGATTATTTTTTTTAATATGGTTTTATTATCCTGAACAGGTATAAAAGTGCCCCAGGAGAGTACCTTAATATCTACAGCCAATATAACCAATCTGAGTCATGCTGTAAAAAAAAAGAAGAAGAAAGTGTCCCGTATGTCAATTTTAGGGGTTTTATTAAAAACTATCTGCCGTTCCCCAAGTTCTAAAAGTATTTTAATCTAACACCAAGTGTACTAAACCAGCCGTGCACTGGGTGATCAGGTGTCCTTTCAGAGGGACTGCAAAGCCTCTTTAGCCTTGGCTCAAATGTTTAATAGTTGCAGCTGTGGGACAGACACCTAGCATTAATTTTCATCATGTCACATCCAATGGGAGTTAGAAAAGCAGACAACACACTTCAGAGTGGGCCTGGGTTTAAAGCCAGACGACCACGATGATGCAATGTTGCCAAAATATGAGCAAGAAAAAACATCGCATAAGTTAAAATTTGTATCTAGCCCTTTTTTTTTTTTTTTTGCTAATATGCATAAATGAGATCCAGTTAAACAAATTGTTAGAGAACATAGCTGAATGGTTAGCTATCAAGGAGCACCGAAGACAGGTTGAGGATGAAGTTTAAAGCAGGATTAGGGAATAAAACAAAAATGCAAACGCTTTACACAGTTTGTTGAGAACTGTGCCAAGTTCTGCTTGCCGGAGCATGACGGTGACAGTATAGTGCTGAGGGCATGCTTTTTGTCTGCAGAGCCAAGGAAGCACATCAGAATCCACGTGGTGGAAATTGTACTATCAGCAGGAGAAAAACCCGAAATATTCAAACCAGACCAAATCCAAATAACTATCCACAGAAACCTTTAAAAACCTCTAGATTTTATTTGTGCTTCAACAAAGTATCGACTCAGAGTGGCTGCAAGCAAATTCAAGCCACACGCTTCCGATTTTTATTTAAAAAACTGGCATCACTTTGTCATCACCTTCACAATTATCCGCCACTTTGTGTCGGTTTACCAAATGAAATTTGAATGACTAGCATAGGAGGCTTCAGCTAAAGCAGGGGGGGAATTTAAATAGTTCAAGGAACTAATTATGTAGATTACTGTGAAATTTAACGGATGCTGCTATGATCTGCAAACACAAAGTGTCAGGAGTGAAACACAGGAACCATTTATTCAGAGCAAGAACTCATTTTCTTTTAAAAACAGACATTAAAATACCATTTACTCTACCTTGAAGCTTTTGCTAACGTGCCTCAACGTGCTTAAATATGCCTTAAAACAAAGACGAAGCCAAAATATAAAACACACCAAAATAATCAATAATCTTTCTTTCTGTCAAACTGAAAAGCATTTCTTTTGTGACCCGAGGCATGCAGAATTACCAAGGTCTCCAAATATGTCTAATCAGCTTCGCCTTGATTACACTGTTAGAGAAAAACGCATCTGAATCATCCCACTGCGAGCCACACCGCGTCTCTGGCTGTTCCTCACCCACAGCCATTTGTCACCGTGGTCCGGGACACTTGGTCTAGAAGCTTCTCTCAGTGGACGCGTGGTTGTTGGAGGACCGCCCCCACCACTGCCAGACAAACCGCTGAGCTCATGGTGAACTCTTATGCTCACTCTCATAAACACAAGCTGAGCTCAGAGCGGCCTCGTGCCTTCGAGCTGAACTCACTGCAAGGCTCCCTCAGCGTTAAGACCGTCATTTCTAAGGTGTGACACAACACCCCGTCTACCAGCTACGAGCAATGGAGCTGGTCACTGACTGCATTTAAATGAGACTCGTCCGTCTTGAAAGGGAAGTTCAGCTGTTCAGAAGAGAGCGAGCGGGTTTTTTTCTGGGTTTTTACATCATTTTTGGGGGTTTGCTGGGTTTGAAAGGCATCTTGTTCAAAGTAAAGCTGAGTCAAAAAACTTAGATTTTTTTTTTATTATACATAAAGTATAGTTTTAAACCTAGAAGGAATGCTAAACATGATCAACTGAAAATATTGCTCAAAATATTTTATTGGTTAGAACCTTTTTTTGTTTAGAGTTGAAAGACAGTATTATGTCTTTCTTCCTTTCTTCTTTTCCTTTATCTTTCTTTACCAATACCCTTTGTATCTAAAATACAATTTTATACTTTCTGAAATTGTCTTTAAATTTACATAGTAGGCAGAATTGTGAAGCAGAATGAAAATGATAAATGACAAAAGATACAGATTGCAAACAAGAATATTATAATAAAGTAGGTTGTGCATTTGTAGTCTGCCCCCCTTTACTCAAACACCCCTTAATAAATTAAGGGGTGTCAACAGGTGTCCACCTGCATTTAGCTCCAGCCATCATCTTACTAACTTATCAACAGCTTCACTGTCCCTGTAAGAGAAACATCAAAATCCCCACAGCATGATGCTGCCACCAACATTTGTTACCATTGGCTCAAAATGGTGCACAGCATCCAAGGTTTCCCCCAGAAAACCTACTAAGTTTTGGAGGGCTCGGCAGTCATTCATCCAGCGGCCCGCCGTGTTTTTGAGTTAAAAATTGTTTAAAGTTGATAATTATGTGTGATTGGAAAATTACCTGAACACCAACTATAAGGTCTTAAAAAATAAATAAATAAATAAATAGGCAATGCTAAGCCTGGTGGCCCGCCAGGCTTAAAATACAGTGGAGGAAACCCTGGCATCAGTGTTCCTCCACATATGTGCAGCACATCTGACTTTCTTCCACAAGTTTCAGTTGTTTCAAACATGACAAACTGTAAATTGTGTTTTTTTACAGCTTCTATGCATCAGTTTTCCATGAAGATCAGATTTGTGGAGTCCTACTGAGAGATTCTTCCACTTGATCTGTGCATTTCTGCAGCTGCACAGATAGAGATTATCATTGCATTGAAAACTGATTTAGCATTTCATCTTCCACCTAATCACACCCTGTGGTCTACCACATAAAAACATAAAATACTTGTGCGAAAATCTTGAAGTTGAAAGTGGCAATGAGAAGAGCATTTGTCTGAAGGGCATTAATACTTTTCCAAAGCACTGTACGGTGTGTTGATTAGTTGAATTATGGTTCTCCGCATGACGAGCGACGAGTTTATAAATAAGGTTTCCATATCAAGGCTGGATGTCTCACCTTGCAACTCATGGAAACTTTCCTGGTGTTTGTTGGACGTCTCCCTGGCCTCGTCCAGCTCCAGCAGCAGCTGCAGAACCTGGCCCTTCAGCTCCTCCAGCTCCTGCTCCTCCGTCAGCAATTCCTGCTCCTTCCTCCTCTTCTCCAAACCTTCCTCTTCCCCTTCCTCCTCTCTCAGCTTCCTCTCTTCCCCCTCGTCCTCCTGGGACCGCTCCTGGTCCATCTCCTCCTTCTCGTTGTCCTCCTCTAGGACGCCTCTCTCTTTGGCCGTCATCTCGTTGTCCATGTTCGGGCTGCTGGTGGCTTTCAGATCGCTGGGATCATCTGATGGAGGGATGCGGATAATAGAAAGAGAGATAAAAAGGAGAGGTTGATGTGTTATGAAAAAAAAATCTCTGTCATTCTCTGGATTCAGCCATGCTTGAAACAACAGCACCATCTTGTGTGATCCAAGTGGCACAAACTGTTTTGCGCACCAACTCTTACTCCACTTATGTCATCTGGGGATCATGAAAGAATCATAAATATCTGCCTGTGAATCCGTATTTTACAGGGAGAAAAAAATGACAAATGTCTGAATAAATAGAAATAAAAAAAATCACAACACGCACCTTAAAAGCAACTTACAGCATCACAATCAGGATGTAGAGTTAAAGCCATTGAGCTGCACTGTGAATACAAATATTCAACCAGTAGGTGGAGTGAGTTAGCTGACACATTGCGGCAAAGAATGCAAAAAAAAGGTGGGGGTGTGGGTGAGCCAGTGTGCTGAAGCAATCACTATGACTCACCATTCAGCAATGCACCTCAAAGTCCATAACAACACCAGCTACCACTCATAGTAAGCCAGATGAGACACATGCGACTCTCACATTCACACAGCCTTTACCGAATCCTTTCTTTGCTTATTTCAAAGCCTGATAAAAACATGACTGCTTTATGTGTAAAGAAAAAACAAAAACAAAAAAACATGTTAAAACTGAGGTAGAGCAACGCAAAGAGGCTTTATCTAGATGTAAGGAGGCCTGCACAGACAAAAGGAGATGATCGAGGCCTTTCCGATCAGTTGGCCGAGACTCCTCCAGGGGGTTTGGTCTCTTCAGGGAGGGATGTTGCTCACGCTCCTTTTTCAGTATCACTCCAAAGAAGTCTGCTCACACCGCAGATGCGCTGACCCGCCATCGTTTCCCTCTCACCTCTCGGCAGCGCGCTTCTTTTAAGGTCGAGTCCGTTTCACGGCTAAATGAAGACGCGGCGTTACAAATTTGTGTCTGAGTGCCACAGAACTGCCGGTTAGTTGGACTCAGAGAGGGAGAGTGAGATGTGCAGAGAGGAAAGAGGGAGCAGCAGGGGACGGGGTGGCGTATTAACTACAGATCTGCCTAATTAGGAGCCATACACACCGGTGTGTAATCATCACTCTGGGGATGCTTTTGCTTCTTGAGATAATTATTTATCTCCCTCCCTCCTGACTGGATGTAACTCTAGTGCAGAGCGGGGAGAAGTTTAGAGTGGGCTACTTTATGAAACAATATCCCAAGCTTCCGGTGTTTTACAAAACGTCTTACCAACACTGCAAATTCCCCTGTGAGACATGGTGGTGGCAGAATCGTACTGTGGGGGGTGGGTGGAAGAGCAGGGAGGTCAGACAGAGCTACCGTAGCAGTTTAAGTTAACTAAACTCTACTGAAAATCAGATTTATTTGCCAAATTTAGCGTAATTTGCAATAAATACATGGTACACAAACAGTTAAAATAGTTACGTAGAACAAAAATCAAAAGAAGTTGCTTCAAATTCAACCAGAAAAAACGTATTTCCATTGCTACCAACGTCTCTAGATTATTCAGCCCTCTGAAAATAATTCTTTACAAAAGTAAAAACACTGCAAGGTTTGGTTTCAGGCACAATCCAGGATTTCATTAGTTGTGACAAGTGTCATTGAGATAGCAAACCTCAAAAACTGGTTTGTTACACTGTAAGTTACAAATATAAGTCAAGAAAATTGTCCACAAAGAATTGGCGGCAGCCGCTGAGGTTTCAGTTTCCATCGTAAGGTTCATAATGGGTCTATCCTTGAACTCCAAGATGCACAAGCCTACTGACCCAAAATCACAAGATCAGTTTCATAAGTAGAGCAAAGTACTGGCCAGACCTATCACATTGAGAATCTGTGGCAAGAGCTGAAAGTTTGTTAAAAATACGCTTCATCCACTCTGACTAAGCTTGAGCTATTTTACAAAGAAGAACAAGAAGATTTTCAGTTTCCAAATGTACAAAACTAGAAGAAACATGCCTCGTAAGATTTGCAAGTGTTATTTTGGTGAAAGGTTCTGCAAAGTATAAACTCAGGAGGCTTTAGTAGAAATACTGGTTATTACAAAATGAATAATAAAAAAAAAGAACTAAAGGAGTGTGAATACATTTGCAAGGCACTGAATTTGCATGGCTATTATGCACATGCAAAACCTGCACATCCTTTATACTCAAGAGACCCAATTTCTCTTTTTTCATGATGTTGTTAATTCAAAGAAGGCAGCCTCTGAGGGGAAAGTGAGAGGTTTCGTGAACACAGGGCTATTTTGTCATTAAACTTTGATGCTGGTGTAATGAGTTAGTCATAAAAAGCCGGAGCACAGTAGCAGGGAGGGAGGGTTAGCTGCTTGTACAGCCAGCGGCAGATAATGGCCATCAAGAGACTGAACACTTCTCACTGAATATTGCTCAGATTCTCTAGGATGTATCATTAGAAGAAGGATTCGCTCTTTTAAGTAGTCTCTGCTGTTTCTGGGAGTAATGCAGCATCATTCAAGCTCGTTTTCGTGCCCATCCATCCATCCAGACAACCTACACATCCCTCTCCTTGGCAATATACTCCAACTCATTCTGGGGAATCCCAACACAATGCCAGGCCAGATGGGATACATGGGTCTCCTCCCAGTGGGACATCCCAGTAATTTCTCCAAAGAGAGATGCCCATGAAGCATCCAGACTGGATACCAAAGAGATCCTGAGGTTCCCAAACCAGGCATCCTCCTCTCAATGATTATGTCTTGAGATCCTATTTATGAACACCTCAAGCAGTACCGATGGCAAGAGGCCTGCCTGGTAGAGTCCAACCTACATTGGAACAGGCTTCACTTTGTGTCAAGAATGCGGACATGTCTCTTCCTTTAGACATACAAGAATTGAATAGTCTTCAATAACTACCCAGATACCCCATAATAATGGAGTTACCTTCTCCCAAGTCCTCAGGCTCCACCTTCTCCATGGAGGACATGGAGGCCGACTTAAAGTTTGAGGTCAACCAACAACCTTTCTCCACAGCCTCTCCCGAATTCCTCCTCAGCCAGAGACCATGTCAGCCACTTAAGGAGTCCCTTTAGTTTTGTACCCATACTGCATGCAATTTTTTTTAGCACATCTAAGTTATAGTAGTCTGTTAGTTTAATTAGTATGTTTAAAAAAATCACATCAACTCCATAACACCTTTCTTCAAAAGCACAACCACACCCATAGTGCAACATTCATTATTCGAAGCTCCTTAAATAGAGCTGTTTCTAACTGCGCTGCACACATTTAATGGCTCACTTCTATTCCTCACTTCAGGCACTTTTGCAACATCATTTTTTAAAAAAAAACACAGCGATTGTCACAGCCTAGCTGATAATAAGACACCTTCTACACAAAGCGACTACAGGTTGCAAATCCTCTACTTTATAAATGTTACAATGGAGAAAGTTCACATCTTTCAGAGAGTTTCCATCCCCCACAGCTCTCACTCAGGTTTCCTTCACTGAAGTGTCAGTCATAAAGATTTTCAACTACTTTCCCCCCCTCTAATGACTCAGAGAGGGCATCAGTCTTGCAGCTATTAAATGTGACTAGTGTGGCATTTTAAGACTTGTGGCATCGCAAGATTTGTCGGAAGAGTGCTCAAGCAAATTGGTATAAGCTCATGCAATGACTAACTCTTATAAATTTTATAAATTGAAAAAAAATTGAAACAATTTTAAGGTGGAAGAGAGAAGACTTTCTGCATGGATAGAGTTGGCTGTGCTCACTCTGGATTAAGAATTTTATATTCTTTTTGAACATCTCAAAATGTGAATCTATTAAAGAATATTAGATTCAAATAGGATTTAGGAATATAAGATTCATAATAAGATATAAGATTCATGACAAAATCAGGGATGTCCTACTTGTGAAAATTTTGCTTGCTCATATAATCCAGGATGGTCCCGTTTTGTTGAACTGGGGATCATTTTTGTTCTGAAATTGAGAACTCTTCAAACTTTTCAAAGGTGATGAACCCAAACAGTGATCTACTGCTGCTTCTCAAACAGAATAACGTCTTTTAACAAATTAATTCACACGGATTAACTGAACCTCGTGATTTCTATTTTTATTTTTGCTCACTGGCACCCAGCAGGTCCTGTAATGAGTTTCTGAATCCTCTGACTACAATAAATCATTATGTTCAGAGTACAGGCCTGAAGGGTATTTTAGATCTGGCCGTGCCCAAACAATATGGGAAAATTAAGCTTCTCTCTGCTGGAATCAGCTCCGCTCCTAAAGTAAACGTTGTTCAGAGCAAAGCCGCTTAATTTTCATTTCTCTTTCCAACTGCTTCTGAACAGCATGGCATCTTAACTTTGGTGTTTTGTATTTCAGTAGTTGAATTTGAGTATTTTGATCTCTGCATAAGTCCATCTATTTTGTGAAGGCTTTGGACGTTTGTTCAAGAACATTAAGGAGCAAACAGCATCACAGAGGCCAAGTAACAGGGAGAAAGCTGTAGAGAAGAGACTACAAATCAACACGTCAATCATTCTAGGGCTGTAAGGATTCCTCGAATGATTCGAGTTCCTCCATTATTAAAATTCCTCAAGGAAAATTTATCTTCCTCAGAAAGAGAGAGAGAAAGAGAGAGAGATGTTGCTCGATTAATCGAAAACATAATCAATAGAGTACTTGATTTCTAAAGTATTCTATTACAACAGCACTAGTTCAATCCATTATCTGAAAAATGTAAACAGAGTGACACACATACCAAGACATGACTGTCCACCTAAGCTTACAAGCTTTTGAAGTAAAAGGCAATAATAAGAGAACAAGAAAAGTCCCATGGTGAATCTGAAGGAGCTTCACAGATCCACAGCTGAGCTGTGAGAATCTCTTGATACTTGAACTTTTGGTAAATGGTGATTGGTCCAGAAGACCCCGAAGCATTCCCACATTCATTCACACACTGATGGTGGTAAGCTACATCATAGCCATAGCTGCCCTGGTGTCACTGGGCTCTCTGACCACCACCAGCAGGAAA